CTCCGATATCCCTCTTTCAGTTTTAGAAAGCGTGTTTTGATCCTCTTTCCTTCAGGAGTATCAGAAGTTACTCTCAATGCACAGCATGCAAGAAGATAAAGCTTTTGCGCATACTCAAGAGGTGTGTCAGAAACCCCGGGAAAAGGGGTCACCTGGGACCACACTCCCCAGAAAGGAAACAATCCTGTCAGCTCTCGTTCCTAGCAGCTCAGCGGTCATTAGCTAAACTCCAAATTAATCTAACCCCTTAATCCCATTGGGTCACTCAATCCCAGCTCTGATTCTCAGGCAGCCTCTGCCATTTTGCCTTTGCAGTGTGCCTGATGAGCTTTCGGTGCACAGCACACGATGCAGGAGCCTCCCATCCCACCCCTAACTCTATGGATTGTGACTCATGGAAAATGGCTCCTTCGTTCCACCTCTCACTGGTGGTGGAAAATCATGGCACAGTTGATTGATGGCAACCCCTCATGGGGTTTTCAAGGCGAGAGGGGAACAGAGGCGGGGGGTGGTTGTTGTTGCCAGCCTCTGTGTAGCAACCCTGGGCTTCCTTGGTGGTCTCCCATCCGAGTACTAAGCAGGGCCGAGCCTCTTAGTTTCTCAGCTCTGACAAGGTCAGGCTCTCCCATCCGAGTACTAAGCAGGGCCGACCCTCTTAGCTTCTCAGATCTGACAAGGTCAGGCTAGGTTAGCTCCACGTCTCACTAGTAAAGGTAAAGGTTCCCTTGCTCGAAAGCCAGTCGAATCCAACTCTAGGGTTGCGGTGCTCATCTCCGTTTCCAAGCCGAAGAGCCAGCGCTGTCCGAAGACGTTTCCGTGGTCATGTGGCCGGCATGACTAAACGCCAAGGCACACAGAATGCTGTTACCTTCCCACCGAAGTGGTACCTATTTATCTACTTGCAATTTCTTGCTTTCGAACTGCTGGGTTGGCAGGAGCTGGGACCAGAGACGGGAGCTCACTCCACCATGCGGCACCCGGGTCTCGAACTGCTGAACTACTGACCTTCCACAGCCTGCAGTTCAGCGTCTTAACCACTTGAGCCACCGCAGCTCACTACCAGCTACCTAAATCAGCAGAAAGCTGTTTAAGCTAGTGACCAGTTTATCTGTGGGGACACCAGGAGTCACTTCAGACAGGAAGAAAGTACCGATCGTTACTGTCAGTTCAGGATGGAAAAGTACCAGCCAGTTACGATAATCCGAGCTGTCTGCAAAGTGCAAATTGACTTCACCCATTTCATAAAATTATCTCCAAAATTCATCTCTTCTAAGATCTTAATCAGAATAATCCAGTTCAAGTTATCACTTTCTCTGCATCTAAAAAAATCAACGCCACTCCCTTTTCAGTACGTTTCTCCTGGTGTTTTAAAATATCCGTTCTAACATTGTGTTTTAGCTGTCTCTTAGGTAAGAAACCACATTGATCTTCTTCATGAATAAATCCTTGTAAAATAATCTTCCGTCTTCCTGCAAGAATCGTTGTAAACAACTTGTAGTTGTTGTTCAACAAAGAAATTGGTCTGTAATTTTTTGTCAAGTTAAGGTCTTGACCTTCTTTTGGTATTACTGTTATACTAGCCTCTTTCCACGATTCTGGCATCTCCCCACGTTGTAAAATAGAATTCATTGTACTCGGTAATGGCTGAAGAAGTTCATCAATACACTTATAATACATTCCCGATAAACCGTCTGGGCCTGGTACTTTTCCTGGTTTGATTTCACTTATGGCTTCCACCATAGTATTGTGGCTCAGCAGTAGAATATCTGCTTGGCATGCAGAAGGTCCCAGGTTCAATCCCTGGCATCTCGTTAGAAGTAGGTGATGTGAAAGACCTCTGTTTGTGATCCTGGGTAGCCACGGATAGGGCTGCCAAGTGGGGGCGGGGAAACCCCCACTTTGGAGGCCCGATTTCCGCTGCTGCGGAATCGGGCCCCGGGGAACTCAGCCCCCCAAAGCTGCGTCACGCAGACACGTCGCTCACGTTGGTTTTCTCCCCCCGACGATCTGGGTCACGCCGCAACGTGAGCGACGTCGCACATCACTTCCGTTGTCGTGCTGGCAGTGCACGCGCGCATCCAGAGCTGGCTCCCGGACCCATCGGAGCCTCCCCCGCCGGTGAGTTTGCGGGACTTGGCAACCCTAGACATGGCTAGTCTTAGTAAACAATAATGACCTTGATGGTTTGATGAAATATAAAGTAACTCCATGTGTTTAACCCCATAAGCTCCCTTTAGGAGAGCACTAACAAAGAACTCTTATGAAATATTTTCTCTTTTGAAATGAATGAAAACGCTTTTAAACTAAGGTTTCAGTCACTCAAAAGGGCAGTATGAAAATCTGTATGTTACACAAACTGTTTCAGGATAAGTGTGAATAGTTTTGGCAACTATTAATAGGTGATAATGTGTTGAAAGCAAAGAATTCAGTGCTTCCGACATTATGAAGTTTAACTAAACATCCAACTAAAGTGGCAGCTCACAACTTGTGATTGCCTAAGAATGTTTCTGTCCAAATAATACATTTTTTCCCTTACTATTGAATTTGTTTTCTGTCTTTAAGATGGCGAGAACTAAGCTAATGTGCTAAGGGTGAGATCCGGGTCCTGAGAGACTTGATGTAGTTCCGCAGGGCCTATGAGACAGAGTTGTTCCGCCAAGCCTATGGATGAGGGCAGCGACAGTTTTTCTACCTCAGACTGGCCTCCCTTCCTCTTTCCCCTCTCCTTTCTTATTAGTCAGATTTTAGGATATTTATTTCCCTCATGGGATAAGGAGCACTAGGTTGTGCCCCTTTTATACACCATCTATTAGTTGTTCTTAGTCGTTGTTATATGTTGCATTATAAAATTGTTTTAATATTTTTAATAGTATGGAGTGTTTTATGAAGGTTGTTACCGGCTCTGAGCCCTGTTATACAGGGGAGGGAGAGCTATAAATTGAATGAGTAAACAAATAAAAATAAGGTAGCACAGGAGGCAGCCATTTGCAAGTCTCTCTTTCAACCATTGGGTACATTTGCAATTTTGCTTGCAGAAAACTAAGGCATCTATACAGCCAGTGTGGTGTAGTGGTTAGAGTGTCTGTCGAAGGTCAGGAAGACCCAGGTTCGAATCCCCATGCATGCCATCGAAGCTCACTGGGTGACCTCGGGCCACTCACACACTCTCAGGCTAACCTACCTCGCAGCATTGTCGTGATAGTAAAATGAAGAAAGGTGATAAAATTGTAAGCCACTTTGTGTCCCCGTTGGGGAGAAAAATGGGAAATACATGAAGTAAATAAACACACAAATTAAAAAAAAACCACCACCCCACCCCTTGATGCTTGGCTGGTGCCTACCTTTCTTTTAGGCACCAGGCCAAAACGCATCCTTTTCCTCAGGTGTTCAATTAGGGGTTTTATTTTACCATCTTTCGAAATGGTCTGCTTCTGTTTTATGGATAGAGCTATGCTGTTCATGTTCAGTGGTTTGTTTTTTAATAGCCTGTTTAGTAATAGGATTGCCAACTCCTGTTTGGGAAATCCCTGGAGATTTTGTGGCTAGAGCCTGGGGAGGGCAGGATTTGGGGAAAAGAGGACCTCGGTGGGGTAGAATGCCATAGAATCCACCTTCCAAACCAGCCATTTTCTCCAGGTGAACTGATCTCTGTCCTCTGGAGATCAGTTGAGACAGTGGGAGATCTCCAGCCACCACATGGAAGTTGGCAGCCCTATTCATGATTTCTTTTTATACTGCTCTGTTGTTTTCACGGCAAGCCGCCTCGAGCAGGAGTCTGAAAAGGCAGCGTAGAAAAATCTTAAATTAACTATTTCAGGGAAAAATTAATCAAGAACTCTGGAAAAGAGAGAGGGATCCTACCAGTGTTCCCTCTAAGCTGAGTTAGTGTGAGCTAGCTCACAGGTTTTTAGCCTCCGGCTCACACATTTTTGGTCTTAGCTCAGGAAGGATGGCTCCAAAGCAAACTAATCTATGCAGGAGCCAAATTGCTGACTCACAACTTCAATGCCGGTAGCTCACAAAGTAGAATTTTTGCTCACAAGACCCCACAGCTTAGAGGGAGCATTGGATCCTACCCCATCTCCCCAAGTGCACCTGTGTTTCATTCAAGGAGCTTCGGGTGGAGAAGCGGTCCCTTCTAGGGAACTGGCGCCATCTTAGAGGGTTGGGCAACCACACAACCAATGATCAATTGATCTGCATCCTCAAAAGGGAAATTCTTTGACGTTTCTCCCCCCTCCCCCCTGCTCCGGTAGGTTATGAAAAAAGCCAGCTCTGCCCTGCAAAGGAAGCCTCTAGAAGGATCTCACCACATACCTCCACAATAGGGTAATAGCAATAGTTCCAGTACCAAAAATTTTTGGAGAACTTCTCAGTCAGGTGGGACTCTGGCACAAAAGGATGGAAAGTCTCTCTGCCCTCTGTGTCACGGGAGTCCCCAGCCACCACTCCCATCTTCTCCATGCACTGGCCCAAAGCCAGGTCCTCCACCGAAGTGGTGTGGCTGCACACCTTGGAGTCAAAGCCAGCCACAAAGCGCCGCAGGGCCTCTTTGCTGAGGATGTAGCCGGCGCCCCCGCTCATGTAGCCTTGCTTGGCAAAGGGACGGAAGCGCTTGCCAAAATAGATGGGTGTGTCAGGAGTGTAGTTGGAAAGCAGCCACCGCAGATTGTCCACCACCACAAAGGTGTCGTCGTCCGCCTTGAGGAACCAGTCTGCCTGCTCAAAATGGTGCTTGTGGACGTACTGGAAAGCGCGGATGGTTTTCCAGTACAGCTGGTCCCGGCCTTCCTTGGTTCCCAGACCTATAGTGGGAAAGTTCTCATCTTGGACTGAGCTCATGAAAAGGACCACATTGCAGTGGCGGGACCAGGTGGCCTTCACATGGCGGGCCTTTGTCTCCAAGTTTTGGGGGCCAGTCATCACCCAGCACAGGATCCGTACTTTATCATACAGATCATCAGACACGCTGCTCTCCTCACCTGAGGAAGAAAAACAATGAGAGTTACGATTTCCCATCCCAGCCCCTCCGGTCATTTGCCTAATTTAATGGAGGAGGATTTTGAGGAGCATTTGGCCAGGGGTTCTGAGCAGTTCTGAGACAGCATACTGGGCACAGCCGGAAAATGGCTGCCACAGAAGGCAGAGCTAGCCACAAAATGGCTGCCACTGCTTATGTTCAGTCACACAGTGAAGATCCTTGCGCTGTGGTGACATTTTAAAAAATCTGCACAGCCAATCAAATTTCTAATCGCCAATCAAAAGGCTTGCTAGACAAAAACCCCACCTGCCCCTACTTACGTTCTATAAACACTTGGCAGGAACCACGTTGCGGACCCCGATCTAGACAATCTGTTGATCTCCTTTTTTTATCCTGTCATTCCACCGAAGAACTCAGCACTGTACACATGGTATTCCCCTCCTCTATTTTATCCTTGCCCTGACCTGAATAGCCTAGGCTAGCCTGATCTTGTCAGCTCTCAGAAGCTAATCAGGGTCACCTCAGGATAGTATTTGGATGGGAGACAACCAAGGAAGTCCAGGGTTGCTACGCAGAGGCAGCCAACGGCAAACCACCCCTGAACGTCTCTTGCTTTGAAAACTTTATGGGGTTGCATTAGTTGGCTGCAACTCGACGGTACTTCTCACTACCACCGTTTTATCCTTCCAACAACACTGAGGTAGGTTAGGCTGAGAGAGAATGACGAGCTCATGGTGAGCTTTGTGACTAGATGAGGATTTGAACCCAAGACCCCTTGGTTCCAATCCAGTATTCTAGATTCACTCTCCCATTAGGCTGGCTCCATTCTCCCAAACCTAGCCCTGCAGTCACCTACTGATCTATCAGTAGATGCAGGCAACCTGGCAAACATTTTGAAACTCACCTGCACTGCTCTGTCTCCCTTACCTGCCAGGTGCGGGTGTGCCACACGAAAGAGAGCCAGTTTCTCCACAAACCACTCAGAATCCCTGACGCTACGTGGTGACTGAGTGCCGGGACGGGGTGGCCCTTCCAACCTTAGGTTGCCGACGAGGTAGAAGGTACTGATAAAGCCAGCTATGAGGCCCAGGTGGAAAGCCAACAGGGAGCTCTTGGTGGTCAGGAACCCCATGCCAAGTGGCTGCCACCAGACAATCAGGGGAGGGGGAACGCAAGAAGGATGGGCTTCACATAGCCTGTGCTGGAAAGAGAACAGAAGAAGAAGATCAGTTTTATACCCCGCCCTTCACTACCCAAAGGAGTCTCAGAACAGCTTACAATCACCTTCCCTTCCTCTCCCCACAACAGACACCCTGTGAGGTGGGTGGGGCTGAGAGAGCGCTGAGAGAGCTGTGACTGACCCAAGGTCACCCAGCTGGCTGCATGTGGAGAAGGGGGAAATCAAACCCAGTTCTCCAGATTAGAGTCTGCTGCTCTTAACCACCATACCACAGCTGGCTCTCAGAGAAAGGGTGAGGAGCCTGAGCTACAGATACTGCAGCTGTCTTCCCAGTGGCAACCCAGTAACTTGGCACTTCATCAGCCCTAGCTAGTTCAGTCACCATAGAAACCAGAGAGGCAGGAGCAAGTCTGAAAAGGAAGGCTGAACGTAGTCGGGTGTCAGGAGACACAGGCTCATTATTTAATTACATGAAGAACTCTTTGGAGCCAAAGGGTCCCCAAAGCCATTTACAATTTTTTTTAAAAAAAACACAACATTAAGTTTTGCTCATTCGATTGCCAGAACTACAGAGAGGTCTGGGACAAGTCATAGTCATGGCATATGAGAAAAATGTCCTGTCCCTTTGACAGCGGCTTAATGGGGGGAAATGGGCAGCTGAAGGGAGGTAATTCACATCACCTGGTATTTGCCACAGATCAAACTCATATTAAAAGGCACAGCTACAGGGATCAGTTTAAAAGCTGGCAACCCTTAGGGCAGTTCTCCTGTACTTTCCCTGTTGTCAGCAGCCTGGAGGGAAAAAAATATCCTAACCAGTGTTCCCTCTAAGCTGAGTTAGTGTGAGCCAGCTCACAGTTTTTTAGCCTCCAGCTCAGATTTTTGTCTGCGCTCAGGAAGGATGCTCCAGAGCAAACTAATTTATGCAGCAGCCAAATCACTCGCTCACAACTTCAATGCCAGTAGCTGACAAAGCAGAATTTTTGCTCACAAAACTCCACAGCTTAGAGGGAGCACTGATCCTAACCCTTTAATACAGTCTTAATGGGTTGAAATGGGCAGTTTTCACAGCAGGCAAGTAACTTCTCATGTAGCCGCTATTAAAAAGACAGGATATTCTTTCCTTCAAGCTGGTGGCAGTCTAACACTCCTCAAACACTGCCAGAAGAGAATCTCTCCCTTAATATAAAAGAGTAGTGGGTGCCAACGTTCTAATTCTAAAATGCACTCCCTTAGTGTATGGCTGATGGAACTGCTCCTCAGCATATACCGCCACCAATCAGAAGGCAAAGCCCGGGTCCCGCCCACACTGCAACTGCTGCGACTGTGTACCTCACGGGACGCCATTTTCATTTTGCTCGATGAAGAGGATTACGAGGGCACTATTGATTCGGTGAGCTGCCTTCCCCAGCGCCCACTCAAACATGGGCGACGGCGGCAGCCTCCGCTCGCCCGCCTTGCCCCCCGCCCGCAATCCTGGCCTGGCGACCGGCCTTCGGG